GTTGGAGGAAAGAGGGTACAAATCTTTAAACTTGGATGGGAAAAAGCTTTAAATGATGAGGCAAAGATCATGCCAAGGAAGTAAGAGAAGCAAAAGGAAAAATGTCCTTTCAGCTGAGGAAGGAAAAAGCTCCTCTCCATCCCCTTGGATCAGTCTGAGATAATAAGGCGGCTGCCTTTCTGATTACTGCTCTGTGGCCCCAGCCCAGGCAGGGAAAATCTGCATTTCAAATGGCATATTTTAAAGTACACAATACCCAGGGGCCCTGCTGCTGTTGATTTGCCTCTGGTGGGGTCACTGCCTCACTTTCTACAGCTTTATTAACTGGGACCATACACTGGGCCTCTTTCAAAGTGAAAGAAGAGTGGATGGGACATTTGTCTTCAGGGAAAGCTGGGGAAGGAGTGGGGTGACTTTATTGGGAATGCCCCAGAGGTTTTATAAGGGACACTGGTGACCCTTACAGGACTTGCCCTCCTTTTGTAAATTACCCTGGAGCCACCCTGGGGAAAGGAGGTAGGACTATGCTGTCAGCTTCTTTCAAGGTGACCGAGTTTCCATCCTCTTACCCTCACGATGCTGCTGCACTCAGCAGGGCTGTGACCACCAGCCCCTGGACTGGGAAGGACCCCCCTCCTCTTCCTCCTTAACCTTTGCCCCTGAGCACGTCCAACCAGAGAGAGAGAGAAGGGCATGAATGGGAAACATGGCTGCAGAAGGGTGGCAGGAGTGTTGTCAAGGGTTGAGATGTCCAGACACGGTTGGGACATGGTTGGGGTCCCCTCTCTAGCCGAGTAAGCAAAGCCAGTTAGCTGGGGTACATGGCTGTGTTCAGGTACGGGATGCTATACTCCTTCCATCTCTGGAGGAGACACCAGGTTACCCCACAGTCTGGCTCTGAAGGCTGCAGCAAAGTGTACATCCTCTGGCTCATAAGATACAGGGCTCCAGCTTATTTCACCATGCCAGGGAGGGTTCCAGGTCTCCAGGGCATCTTGGGTATCCACAGAGCACTGAGCTTAACAGAAATGGGGTGGCCGCTCCCTGCAGGATGCCTGCTGTAGCAGAAGCATCAGAACCTACTTTCCCAAATCACAGGTTGGGGCCTTATTTTTACTGCATTAGCTTTTTAACCTTAAGCTAAATTTAACCTCTTTGCTCCTCAAGATCCTAATTTAGTCTCTGTGGGAGTACAGCCAGTTTTAAGTGACTGTTTCACTGAAACCCACCAGGCTTTAGGCTGCAGACCCTACTGCACCTACAGCACGAATCAGCAGATTAGGATCATCTAGTTCTTTTCATAAGGAGAGAGAAAATACCTTCTTCTTTCCAAAGGTCTGTGACAGAAATGCATGAACGACATTACACTGCAAATAGAAGTATGCATGTAGCCAAAGTATACTCTACAAATATGCATCTTCCAGTGCCCTCTGAATACACAAGAAGCCGCACATTCAGGTTACTTGGTCTGCAAACCAGAAGGAGCACCTGCCATTGTGGAGTTAACTCTGAACAGTTTAGAGACATCCATAAGCAGGAGAAGGAGTTGCATAAGCCAGAAATAATGTCACAAGTGATTGCCTAGCTTTGCTAAGTGCAAAATGGAGATTGTCTTTGGAGCAGCACAATCATTTGTACTACCATTGGCAACACGGTATCTTTTATATAGAGCCCTGTTTCTCTTGCAGCACAGGTGAAATATAAATGAAAAAAGGATTAACACCTTTCTTTAAAATGTTTAGGAACCAAGGTCCAAAAATATCTGCTGAGGGCCAGGTAAGGGGTGGGAAAGATTTTATCTGACTGTGTTGATACACGAAGCTGAACTGATCACCTCGGGCTCCACATACAGTCAATGGGGAGAAACAAAGCTGCAGTTCATCTGCCCGGAGGCATTCGGGTACAGAAGGGAGAGAGAAATCTTGGCCTAGACTCCTCTGCCTGTTATCACGTCAACTGTAATAGGTGACCAGCTCAGAGGAAACTCCATCTGTATTTAGTTTACTGAATCTGACAATGGGAAATGCCAAAAACGTAGTTCCCTGCCTGCCCAGAAGGTCTCTGGTACAAATACCAGGCTGTTATCTGCCAGCCAGACTGACCATGACACACAGGTGACCAGTCATATGTCGCTCTGTATTTTGAGGGGGCTTTGCTCATGCAGCTGTTGTCAGCTTTGCAGAAACAGAGAAAAGTCAGCAAAGGGCAGACTGGGACTGTCCCCAGCCCTTGCAATCGCATCCATCTCAGAGAGATGCTTCTTTGATCAGCAGCGCTGAACAGATCCTACAGGCACGGATCTTGGCCATCATTTCTTCAACTGGCCAGTTACATCCTCAGCTGCCCCCAGGTGAAAATACCCAGCACAGAAAACGAAATACGAGTCAGCACACCCAGCATTGGAGTTAATCCAGTGTTAAAGATGGATGGATTGCCCCTTCCTCATTCACTTCGTTGGCATACTTACTAAAATCACCTGCTCAGTGCTTCCTCTGGAGAATAAACTCAAATGGTGCCTAGAAACAAATGTACTCCTTAAAGGGGAATCGGCATTGTGCTATAATAGAAAACATTGTCTAATCGCTCTATCAGCAATTACAAAGAACAGGATATCACTAATTAAAATGTGAAAGTGTCTTATTCAGGGTGTAATAAAAAAGGGTAATTAACAATCAAAGGGAAAGCCACCACCTTGCCACCAATCTGCATTAGGCTTCAAAAAATAACAGTACTCAACTCTAGTAGAGCACTTTTCATCTGTAGATCTGAAGGCACTCATGTGGGGAGGCAGGTGTCCTGTGTTCCATTCTATTTCTGGAGAAACCAAGGCAAATTTATACAACTTGTGCATGGTTATACAGCAGGTCAGTGGCAGAGCATCCTTTACTTTGGTCTCTTTACTGATGGTGACAAGGAAAGTTTCAGCATTTGAATGAGTACAGTGATTTCAAGGATTTGTTTTAGTGTGTGTGTGTATGAACAGCTAATTTAGCCAATGTTTCAATATTGAAGGGAACGGTAGGGAACAGTCTGTTCCTTGCCATGACTTTTGAGGTCTGTTTAATGCTGAGAAGCATGTCCCGTGTGCTTAAACAACATCAGAGGGTGATTTCCTGATGGGAGAGTGAAATCACAGAGGGCAGCAAAACAGAGGTAGTCCAATTCTGGAGACAGCAAAGACATGAGTCACTTCTAAAATCACTACAGAAAAACAGCTTCCTTCTCCACTATTATCATCAAGTCACACATTACCAGAGACTGGGGAATGAATGGAGTGAGGTTTCACTCTCTGCTCATCCTCTTTCCCCCACTTTCTCTAAGCATCCACCATTGGTCACTAGTGGGGGTTGGTTACAGACTCAGATTTACCTCGTCTGGCTCTTTGTGCAGGTCCAGGGAAGGGGACAAGAGGTAACTTCATCCAGACTGTGTTCTCCTTCACAGCAGGAGCATTTTACAAGCCCACAGCAGCCATACTGCACACGTGAACTGCACTGACTGTGTACTAGGTTCAGAGTGTAAAATAATGATAGCAAAGTCTGGTTTTAATGTAAGAAACACTTCCAGAATGCATAACTATTCACCACCCTTCTGCTCTGAAATTTTTACTCCAAAATGCCTGAAAATATAGCCTGGGTTCCTTATTTCTGCCTCTTGTAGGTGCCCTAAAAGAGGCAGCATTTTGATCACTTTCTGGAAAAAAAAAATTAAGTAAGTCATCCCAGATCAAAACCACAGGGGAGGGATTGTCCCACTACACAGTATTAATCTTGCTAACGTAAGAGAGGTCCCTTCTCTTGTACAGCTTTTCCAGGAGTTTCTCCTTGGTTGTGTTGGAAATAATAGGTGCTATAATCTGGTTAGAAAGTTTGGTCATGATTTTAGTCAGTGCCCACCAGAAGTCTCCCAGCAGCACAAGAAAAAAAGATTTTTGTCACTGACAGTTGGAAACAAATCAGGTTATCTGCAGAGAACTGGCTAAGCTTGCTGCTCTGGAGAAGGGATCCCCTCTCCCTGCCGCTCCACAGACACTTTCCCCAATCAGCAGCCACCAGTGCTTTCCCAGAGCTTTGATACCAGAAATTTAAGCCACAAAACCTCTCTGCTCAGGATTGTATAAAGTCTTTTCTCTGCCTTTCTCATGAGGGAAGTACCAGGGAGTCAGAGGGCTGAGTCCAGCTCATGGGAGACCTCCACACAGTGGAACACGTTGTGGGGGTGGGGACCATAAAGAACCCAAGAGGCAAAGATGCACTTTGCCTCCAGCCCCTATAGCGAGAAGGAAGGCCAAGGCCGGGGGGTACTGCAGGCGTGGTGAGCTGACATCTCAAAAGAGAGGGATGCCTCACCCCCTCACTGGGTCCCCATCCTAGTGCCAGTGCTGGGGGCTGCCCTGCTGGTGACCGCGTGATATTTTTTCCCTGCTCTCTTTGTTCCAGCTGATGCAGCAGCAAGCCGCGATCATGGCGTCGGTGGCGCAGGGCGGCTACCTGAACCCCATGGCAGCCTTTGCTGCAGCCCAGATGCAGCAGATGGCGGCTCTGAACATGAATGGCCTGGCAGCCACCCCCATGACACCAACCTCAGGTAAGGAGCCGGGGGGTGGAGAGGGCAAAGGGCAGAAAAAGCTGGCCACATCCCAGAGGTGACCTGGCAGGACATGTTAGCTGACACGTTCTCCCCCAGTGGGTGTTTACTGAAATGTCGGTCTTGTTGGTGAAGGTCACCAGAAGAGAGAAGTGGAGCCAACCAGATCCTTTTGTGGTCTGGGAGTGGGAGAAAGGGCAGAGAAAGGCTGCTGCCACCTCTTCCAGAGCTGGGGCCAGCTGCAGGTCAGCTTCTGTATCATGAAATATTTGTAAGGGCAAAGCCAAAGGGCTTGCCAGCAGTGGGCTGTTGGGCTAGCTGTGCCCTGTGCTGAATGGTGCTCACTGGTGGGTGAGGAGAGCAGGAGGGTTGAGACCCACCAGAGCTGTGAAGCAATTGGTCTTGTTGGGAAGGAGGAAGGGTGCTGGCAGGGAAGGCATTGGAAAGGGCTCTCAGCCATGACTCTTCCTTCTCAGCCTTATCCCTTACAGAGCTTTCCTTTAGCTCTGAACACTCTCCAAATGGCACAAAACATCCCCCAGTGACCTACACTGGTTTATTGGTGGTGCATATGGATGTCCAAGGGGGTCAGTGCTGGTGCTGTCACAGCCAGGCTGGTCCAAAGACAAACAAGATAAGATTTGTGGTGAGATGCAATTATTATTATCAAGACGAGCTACGTCTTTGGGACACAAGCTTTTCCCCTACCGTGAAATAGGACAGGAGGTACTCAGGGAACACCTCCGGTGCATACCAGGAATGCAAGTGTTTGGTGAGACGGTTTCTGGCTGCTGGCGCAGAGACAGGTAGTCAGCGGAGGGCTGCCAGGACCTGGCTATGCTGTGAGGTGTCACAAGAAGCCCATGCTAGGAGCTGCAGTATATGGTTCACTGCGCAGAGAATTAAGCTGAGATGGAAACAGGACTGGCTTTCCTGGGGCTTGAAGCACAAGGAAATCATTTGGGCAGGAACAGGCAGGGAACGGGTCAAGGAACAAGCAGGGCTGGTAGTCATGGAGTGGCATGTGGCCTAACAGCAGGGAAACAGGGCAGCAGGGAAAGTGGGGCCAAACCACGAGAGGAAAGAAGTGAGAATTTGGAGAGCTTCACAGTATACCACAGAGTCTGGTAGGGGAGCAGAGGACTTAAAGGTCGATCTTCAGAGGACCATTTCTAAGGGACAGGTTGGGATAAAAGGGTCCCTGGGGTGATGCAGGTTGTTCCTAGGAGAGGCACTGGGGATGGGACTGTGTTTAGAGAGATGTGGCATACCAGTGCCTTTGTGTGAACCTTGAAGCATCAAGCTGGCCAGGAGGGGACCAGCCTGACAAAGGTTTGGGGTGGGATATGGGAGTGAGCTCTGCCTGAGCCAGCTGTGGCACAGGCAGCACTGGGCAGAACAGGATCTGGGACTCCAGAGCAGAGCGGTAAGAGAGGAAAGAAACAGCTTCATTGCCGAACACAAAGAGGTCTGCACCAGCCCTGGAGCAGCAAAGGGCCGTCTGACAAAACAGCCAGGAAAGATGCCTCGTGGCTGAGAAACACCGGACAGCAGGGAGATAAGGCACCACAGCAATGCAGGCTCGGGGGCCATTCCTAATGAACTGAGTTCTGCTAACCTGTCCACCAAAGAAAACCTGTCCCCGTTCACACACAGCTTAGCATCTCTTTGCAGTCTGCAGCTGGGAACAATGTCAGCAGCTACTGGATCAGATACTTATCTTTTCCTTTGCTTGTATTAGAATATGAGGGGGAAAAAAGGGGAGAGAAAGACAGATCTCATTCCACACGAACTTATGGAGACCCAAGGAAAAGCACTTGACTCAAAAAATCTTATACCACACATTTCAAAATATATGTTTACACAACGATAAATGTATAAACAACAAGTCAATGGAGCTACTGCAAATCCAAATAGAAAAGTGGCTTAATTATATGTGCACCCTTTAAACCCACTGCTGGAAAGATTATCATATTTGCACTAGCTAGATTTGTTTTGTGTTGATGGGAGCAGAGAGAACGTCAAACAAAGACTGCCTGGAATTCAAATGCTCTCAGAGCCTGGAAAGCTGAATCCAGGCCATGGTTTGTGATGGCCCCACCACAAAAGAGCACAAGCTCTTTTGCATATAAATAAGTCTTGAGAATGAGTGAGTTCTGTTACATAGGTGTGTAAATACCAGTACAACAGCCCAATTCTGCGCCTGCAGTGATATCTAGCACGTGAAAAATATCCCAGCCCTTCTTTGGCGTAAACTCTGCTCCTCTTCTGGTGTGCCTGGTGCCCTCTGGGGACTGTTAAGCTCTTATTGTCAGAATATAGGAGAGGAAAGCTCAAGATTTTAACATGCTTTCAAGAGCACCCATGACTGGTCATTACTGAAAATAAGATGCTGGTTTAGATGATCCTTTGATCTCTTTCATGAAAGGTGGAAGATTTTGCACTCTCCTTATGACATATTTTCAATCATGGAGCCTATGCACTTTGCCGTTATTGCAGATTTACCTTGAATGGGTAGCTTCCTTCATGAAAAGCCTCTGTAATGGGTTGTGGAAATGTCCATTGACAATTATTCCTTGGGTGAAATGTTTAGACTTTGAAATGACTCCTTGTATTACTACAACACTCACAAAGCTTGTGATAAAATGCGTAGAAAATGTTTCACATAACGTCTGAGCAAGCAAGCCTACAACACTAGCAACGATTTCTGAGTAGCCAGGAGATATCTGAAGCCTAACGTGAATTCTCCTGCTGGCTTTTGTTAGCATTCAGAAAGCCAAATAGAAAATGATCATTCTGCTTCATAGCAGGATTTCCAGTCATTGAAGTATATCTTTGTTCTGACTTGGAATGAAAATGAAACATTTCAAAGTTCTCTGAAAAACAAGCATTAGAAAAAGTGTTTGGAACATTAAAAAAAAAGAAGTGTTTTGATCTTTCCTAAGCAAAAGAAAAATTGTGCTAGAAAAAGAGCACTGGTAACCCAGAAATCCTAGAGATTTTGGAGGTATTGACTAAGCACAGTGCCTCTGTGCTGCTATCTTCAGGCCTCCTAATCTGGCTGGTTCTCTGTGAATCCCACCCCTAGGAGAGTGGGCTCCTTGGGACATGGCCATGAGTTCATTCAGGCTCACAAGTTCCCATGGAACCTAGGAACTTAGAGGTTTGGATCCAGGCAAATCTAACAGACTAGAGACAGGATCCATCTCAACTGGCTTTAACTATACAAAAGGTAGACATTTAGTTTAAACTAGTCACCTGGCTTGCCTGCAGTTGATGGAGTGCAGTAGGCAGTCCCAGTAGGTAATTCAGGCCTTGGAAATTTTATGCTGTTTGCTGGCATTTTGATGGTTCCCCATCAAGAGTCAGGTTTCTCTCACACAACAGTCCATAATTGTGAGGCAATTAAATTGACATCTCTGAAAGTTTGGTTCGAGTTTTGCATTTCTCCCATCATTGGTATAATCTGGGTGAAAAGTGGATCTGCAGTGGGTCAGCCACTCTGTTAACTGCACAGAGGGGTTAAAAATGAAATTTCATTTAGGCTTCCTTCCTTCTCTTCTCCCTCCCTCCCTCCCTCCCTCCCTCCATGTTGTAAATCTGCACCTGGTATAGCTGCAGCAAGAGATCTCAAATAAGGGATGAAATCCACAACTGGCATGCTCCACCACCATTTGTTCTCTGCGGTGGCATTATGCCAGTTTTACTCCAACTACAGATATGACCTCTCCAGGGGGGTTCTTTACAAGAAGAAAATTAAAGAATTGCAATGAATATGCCTAAACTTCCTTAGACATGCACAAAATAGCAAGCACAAATCCCTTGCTGCAATTTTAGAAAAAAAATACTTACATTGTCTATGCAAATAAGGGAGAGATCCAGAAAAGCAACTGAAATTTTAACTAGACTTGGTGATTTGAAAGCTGATGGCATATGCTAAGAGCATTGCCTTTGGACTTCAGTTGCCATTGCTGGCTCCCTGTACCTCCACAGAGGACATTTTTAAAGGCCAACACCATTTAAATAAGCAAAGGGGAAACAGCAGCTTGTCTGCTCATGGTATAAGAAAAGAGCTGAAATATTGCCTGCTTTTTGGGCTACTCAAATCAGAACATATTAAAATATCTCATGAATCTGTATTGGCTTTCTTAAAGCACCAACACAGATTTAAGTAGGCATTAAAGTGTGTTATTAGACTAACCCATCATGGAATGCTGCTATGGTGAAAAAAATTTCTGCAATTGTTTTAAAAAAGAGGTTACTGCAAAAATGGTGCTTTCCATCAGTAGTATACCCTGACAAAGAAAGATATCGCTTAAGATAAGATAGTTTAACTTCCCACTCACAGCTCGAAAGAGAAAAATACGATTTCATACTCATTGAAAGCTCATTTTTGGTCCCTCAAAACATACTGAATATGTTGCAAGAAGCACAGACTGCCCAGTCATTTATAAACATACAGAGGAGCAGTCAATGAGGTAGCAGAGGGATTTAATTCTCCCCTTAGAAATTTAAGAATTCTCTAACAGTGGGTGACAGGGTACCACCCAAAATGTAAAGACTAAATTGTTCTTCTGAAGTATAATTCCATGAAAGAAACAAATCTAGCCCAAATTTTGCCTCTGTTAAGTGGGAGATCTCTGCTAAAACTCTATGAAATCAAGTTTGAGCCAAACAGTGACACTAAAAAAAGTATCACTGGCTGCTTTTAGGCTACAAATCAACTTGCCAAACCTTTTAAGGATCCCTGGTGCTGAGAAAGTTCAGAATGAGTTTGTACATGAAATGTGTATTCATGCAAGAGTGCAGAGTAGTCCTGGAAATCGGTACACCCACAAAGCTGACATCTCCAAAGAGAAACTGAGAGGAACTGCTGTAGAAAGGTGGGACTGAGAATTTGCTTCTGGTGCTAAATGATATCTAGGAAAGAAACATCTGCTTATGTAGCAATTTAAACAGGTAATACTCCAAGGAGAAAGTTGAGGAGGAAGGGTGATATTTCTGTAGTTTTCTATTGCTTGATATTAGCCATAGAGACCATGATCATCAAGCAAAAACTTCATTCTGTTGAAGAAAGTTTTGCAAGCCTTTCTTAAGCGCTTTCCAAACAGAGAAGCAATGGCAAGCTGTCCCTTTCTTTGCACAACAGCTCAGGAGATTTTTCACTTCTTGGATTATCAGAAGGTTTCTGTGTGGTGGTCACAGCTGTTGTGTCAGCAGTTTTCTCTGTGTAATTATTGCTTCCAGTACTCACCAGCTCTGATTTTGTGTCTTCCCCGCTTGCAGGTGGAAGCACGCCTCCTGGCATAACTGCACCAGCTGTGCCTAGCATCCCATCTCCAATTGGGGTGAATGGTTTCACTGGCCTCCCGCCGCAGGCTAATGGGCAGCCCGCCGCAGAAGCCGTGTTTGCTAATGGCATCCACCCTTACCCAGGTAAGCCAGACCAATGCTGTGCCCACAAACTGCTCCTTCAGTCTCAGGGAGATTGTCCACATTCACAGGCTTTGTCTACCATGAGCCACCTCTGAAGGTTTATACCCCATACCACCAGGGCTCCCTCTAGCATTGGTATAGTTAGGTCTTACCCACTACAGCGATTATACACTTAAATCTGGATGATAGACATCAAGGGTGCATTGGAGGTGAAAATTTTTATGCTGAAGAATTGAGTGCTCATCTGCTGGATGACTTGTCTGGTGAATACAATCAGGAGACCCAGCGTGTTTTGCTCTAGTTAAAATTTGATCTGAGGCCTGACCAGTTCATGCTGGCAGATCTCCTAGCAGTACTCCCAGGGGTCTTGCTCCTGGCTAGCCTTGAAGGAGCTGTGCTAAGCCTGTTTGCATCTCCTAGCACCCACTGTTGGTATCTCCTACTGGGATTCCATTGCAGCCAAATGGCTCTGGGAGATTCAGGCCAGAGAGTCCACATGGCTGCTGACACAAACTGATCCATTCCTCGCACCGTGTGTGCAGACAGCGAGTGTTGGTCTCCGAAATGCAGACCTGGAGACTGAAGCTCCTTTAATATAGCCACAAAATGGGCTCAGCTTCACCCTTTTGTGGAACACCACCAGAGAACTGCTGCTGGGATTCAGACTGTGACTAGTTCAAAAGATGCCAGCACTGAAGGGGTGATTTTGCAAGCCCTGGCAGCCAGGGATGAATGAGGGAAGTTAAAGGATACATACCTACCTCTGTACCTGCACTTACAAATATATGGACACTCTGAGGCTGTAATCACCAAGAACTCAGGACTACACAAGTCCTCAATGTGCACCTATATTTTTTCAGCATCCTCAAGATTTGAAATAGCCCTCTCCACCAAGCTATACTTCTGCTAGGAAGACATTCCTTACTATTGTTGTATACATACCAATAATAACAATCATAACAATAAAAATTTAAGTAAATGTTACTAATTGATCGTAGCCACCAGCTGGCAAAGGAGTATTTTACCCTGGGGCACTCATAGGTTGATCTAGTCTGTTAGGAAATCAAAGACTGAGTCAGATGCTCCAGCCAAAAAGCCCACAAAACCCCTAAGAAAAAAAATTTATTTCGATCTCAGCCAGTCCTGAAAACTCAGAAGGTTCAACATCACAGGGGACTTTATGAGCTACAAGGCAAAATATCACATAACGTAGAAATACAAAACTCTTACCTAGTCACAGTTCAGACAATGTCACTGAAAAAAGCCACCCTGTGAATGCACAGGAAAGCACAGGAAAGCCCAGAAATACCAAGAGTACTGAAAAATAATTATCATCCTCCACACACACACTTTGTAAACATCTAGCCATGAGTTCAACTTTAAGCGGGATTGAAATCAAGGGGCTTACTGTGCTAAAAGTTAGGCATGTATATACATGTTTGTAGCAGCTTAGAGGGATAGGGAGCTCTTGGAGGCTTATGGAGGCATCAGAAAATTGCAGGGAGCCCTTAGCGTGCTCAGTGTGCTCAACCACAGCACCAAGAAAGCACCCTGTCTTTAAGGTTATATAAATACAGCTATCTTTTCAACTATCCACCTATCTAAGTATCTACCTGTTTGCCAGTCTATCATCTCTCCGTTTTTTCATCCATTTCTATGTCTATCTTTTTTTCTAGTTTATCTAGCTCCTTTTCGCTAATTTTCCATGATCCATTACTGCAGATACCAGAGAAAAGATGGTCTTTCTAGATGAATCTTAATGCCTTGAGCTTTTGTTACTATCTCCAACTATCCCCATAATTAAAGAAAGCTTTCAGTTAGGTATTTCATCCATGATTACATAAAAGTCAATGGCCTTATTCTGATTTTCCCTAAGTTTTGGAGAGACTTGCTCAGCCAGCAATTCACAGTAAGTCACTTCACAAACACCAACAGCCTAACACACTGAAAGATGACAGTCATCCTTGCTCTACTTTGTTGCAGGCAGAGAGGCTCCTTTCTGCCGGTAAAGCTGACATCCAAATAGTCTGCTTTGTGTAAAGTTTGGATACTTCTCAGTGTGTCTACAGCAACATATTAATCTGTCTTGGTGCTCAAATTCTCCATAACATTGTGACATCTTAACTTGTAGCAGAGGTGTAAAGGGAACAGTGGCAGGCCAAACCCTCACCTCTCATTTTGCTTCTCCCTGTCCCCACTACCAACGAAACCCTCAAAGCAAGGACCTTTGTAGTAGTTTGGGTGTAGGACACATCATGTGTTTGCTCTGTCTTGTTTTCTTCTTTCTCATGAGCATTTATGCACTCTCCAAAACTTTACTCCTTGCTGCAGGCTTTACTGAGGCCTGGAGCTTAGCAGTATAAAAAAAAAAAAAAAAAAAAGGATTAGACATTTATATGGGTAATGAGAACATCCACAGCCATATCTGACTGGATAAAAGTGTAGAAAGGACACAAACCTTCATGCTTTATGATATAAGCCAGCCACTAATTGCTTGGGGTTAGAAAGAAATTTTCATCACTAGGCAGCTTACTCCATCATTGTTCATTATGGGATTTTTCACACTTTCCTGTGTAGCATTTGTTACTGGCACTGCCCTGTGTTTCGGCATGTCTGTGCTTCTAAATGCAAGGGTAGAAATAAAACATTAAAGCTGAGCATGCAATTGCACTAACATTATAGAGAAGAAAAGAACATGCCAGTCCCCATCCAAAGTCAGCATCTTCCAAACAACTTTCTTTTATGGTATATCTCTCATTCTGAAAGTGGTTAGGAGTGCTGCAGTATTAGGTACATAACCATAGTCTTGCTACGATTATGACTTGCCATATATTGCTTAAAGCCTGAATTTTGCTCTCAGATACTCTTTCATACTCCACAAAAAACTCAAATGTGGGTTCACACCATTAGATCCTGTAGCAGAATGATCTTTGCTGTCTGAAAATAGCAAAACGGGACAATCAAAATCTGTAGAGGCATGAAATCCACATCATTCAGACACAAATAAATCCCATTAATTGTGCAGTTTGTCTACATGTCCACCTTTGTGTCTAGCTATAATATTTTTGATGATGCATCTAAAAGACACCAGAACTCCACAGTCTTTGCACTATAAAAATGGGTCCGTACCATGTAATTGTATTTACTCTGTAGTTTCACTCTTTTTTTTTTTCTGTCTTCCCCTGTGCTCTTTCTTTAAGATTCCCTTTGTCTGAAGCAGGGACACACACAGTATGATTTGAGTCAGACTACTGAACCATCGCATGGCTTTGGGGCAAAGGCAAGAGTAGGTTGAACAACCCTACTGACTAGTTCTCTGATCACAGCCCCAGTCCCTGCAGGAATTAGCTTTTTCTATGGCTCTGGCCAGGCTACGGATCCATGCAGTAGCACTAGGAAACCATTCCTTGCAGACATACTCTTTGCAAGCCATGCTTTTACCATCTCCAAACTCATCCAGCACATAATGCCTCACAATGCACTTTTTGGCATGGACAGAATAACAAGGGAGTAAATATTTCCCCTTCCACTAGTCTAAGCCCCTCTGGAGATCTGACCTTTTTGTGTATTAATGCCTGCCCTTCAGTCTTTCAGCTTGCAGAGCTATTGAACATGGCAACGTGTCACAACCTATAGTGGGGACAAGGAGCATAATCTGTTATGCCATGATCTTGTGAGTCACTTTGCAGCAGCACAAAAGCATTTGCCATTTCCACATTAGCCATAGTAACAGGGATTGTGCTCTTTTGCCAAAGCTTCTTAGCCACCCAGAGCCCAGTACCTCTCTTGTAACAGTGTGTGATGTACAATAACAGTGGAGACCATCTGCACTGGTTTCTGCTGTGTCTCATACCATCAGCACATCTGTTACTCTGGTAACAGGTCCTGCCCTACTGGATTGCATTGTGAAGGTCTGGACAAAATGCTTGCTCCACAAATAAAGCCTTCTTGGGGAGAGAAGGGGAGGGAAAGGTGAGAAAATAGGGAGAGCAAAGGGCAGCAAACAAGAGAGAGAGGGGATTGGCTGTCAAAGGATCAGTGAAATGAAAGAACTGGAAGGAAGCACAGAGCAGAGCCCCCAGAAAAGAGTGAGGATGGCTGTGTGGTCCTCTGCCCAGTGATGTGCCCAGGAAGAAGCAGAAATACACCCCATAGCATCCGACAGCTCCCAAACAAACTTATTCCTCCTGGGCCAAGGGATGTCCAGCTTGACCAGAGCCAGGGATGGATCCAGTGGTATGGCAACTTTGTGGAACCTCAGATGGGGAATGCTTTCCAGGATGCTGTGTTCTTCAGTGCATTTGGTCTGGGCTTGTGTTGCTGAGGAAAACAAAAGCAAAGTTCCCTCAGTTGCTCATAATACATTAAAAACGTGTCATCTCATTTACTGTTCTCAGGCACACAGTGGTTCTGTTTCTGACTGCCCACCACTGCCAGGACTAGCTCTCTCTCTCCTCTCTGCAGACAGAAAAGAGGTCCCCCCACTCCTCTTTGGTTACACTGTGGGTACATCTGGGCTAGCAAGACAGCAAGATCCACTTCATACCCTATTGGGGGCCCAGCCCTCTCCAGTGAGGATTAGCTGTCTGTACAAATGTGCAGCCAAGCCTTTATACCCACATGTTTCCAAGCCACTGCTGAGATTGGCAGTAAAGGTGTCCCCCACGGGTGAATTCCTGTGCTGTAGAAACTCTTGTCTTATGAACTGAACTGAGACCATCAATTCATTTTCTTTGGCTCAACAAAGAGCTATCAGGCAGTAACCAGTTCACCGATTGCCAGCAGAAAGAGGATTCAAAACTCCATCTGTAATTATTACCATTACCCAAGCTAATTTTGTAGGGGAGGAGTTACCGGCATGCTAATATGACAGCCTTATCTATTAGCCCGTCAACTAGCTAGCAGGGCTTCTGATGGGCAGGCTGCTGCTCTGGACCAGTCAGTCCAGGATCAGTCCTGATCACGACAGACACCATCCAGTGGCATTGGGCAAGATCAGG